TACCTAGTTGATAGTCGCGTGTGTGTTAAACGCTACATATTTTCTTTGCGTTGACGAAGTCAGGGCGATCGCTAGTATTTATATATTATTAAAGTTCTATATATGAACTATCATATAACAATGATGAACAAATCTTAATACTTATGTGATCTTACAATCAACAACGCGCATCTATTTAATTTATTATGACCTCCTTCTTTATGATGTCGGCTAAAAGTTAATGTTAAAACTATAAAAATTAAAAGCATCCACTAGTCATCAGTCTTTAATAACCGGAAAGATAACGATTTCACGTGAAACGAGAAAAAACCGCCTCATTTCCTTTGATACAGTTCATTTAACAACATTTTGACTCAATCGGTTATAACATTACCCAACTCAATGACAGAAATCTTACTGTCTTACTAATATTATAAATGAGAATGTTAAGATGGATGGATGGATGTTTTTAAGAAGGGAAGGTATCTATAGAACGACTCATAAGATCTCAATGAAATTCTGCATACATGTATATCGTTGTGTGAAAGAACGCATTTCTTAATTCCGTGTGGACGGTTTCGCGGGCGACAGCTAGTATAGAATAGTTGGCAATAGATAAGATTAAATAACGTAATAAAAGATGATTTAACTTGTTATTATAAAACTGCGGCTTATCACAAAATAAGTGTTTGAATTATAAAAACATCAGAGTTCATGAAATACAGCTAAACAATATGTCACATTTTAAATAATTAATATGTTTTATCTTTTCTCATTTAATGTTTAACCAATCAAATAATAAAATGATTTAAACATTTGGGATCTGTAGCGAATAATTTCAATTATTAATTGCTTGCGTATGATACAGGTTATACGTAAGCAGTCGTAATAAAACAGCGGTATGATGTAGAAAGGAGCACGGCAGGGGCCATAAAGGCGAGGAGAGCTGAGCGGGCATCGAACCGGTTCAGGCGCCAGTCAATGGGCCGCCGGCGCTCTGTTCTCTCCGCTGCCCGTAAACACTCTGAGATCATCGATAATTTTGACACATCGCTCTAATGTCATACACATTGCAGATTAATTATGCAAAAAAATATATTATAAGATATGTTCATTGCGGCTTTGTCAGTGAGTGAGTCAGAACGTTTTATATTATTTTGTTCTGATAGTTCCAATAAAAATGTTTTTATTTTTAGTTTATTAAAACATCTTACGAGTCGTGTTAAACAACGAAGTCGTCTTAGCCTTAAGTAAACATATTAAAATAAGTTCTAAATATTGGAAATCGAATTTAATATTCTGCAAACATATCGTAAATAGATAAGGATCGCAATGTATTCATATTGAACAATAAGTAGGGAGACCGTGTGCGCGCGGGGGCACTAGGGGGCACGCGGGGCATTCCGACCGAGTACCGAGTAAGTGTCAGCGCCGGCGACAGTGAATGCAGCTGAATTTCTAAATCGTACAGATGATAAAACGCCCAACAACCGATGACAAAAACGAACCTTCGAAAACTATTCAATAACGTACCATTCACAAATTCGACAAAAGCGAAGAGACGAGAGAGCGGGAGGAAAAAAAACACGATCACGACACGACGAACGTAGAAACGGGCTTACGGCGTACCTGCGCCGGCGCGGCCCCCGCCCCCGCCCCGCGTCCGGCGGCAGGCCTCCGCCCCGCGGCGCGCCGGCGCCGGCGCCAGCCAGCCGCCGAGCAATTATGCCTAAATAAATATCGGCCACGGCGGCAGGCGGCAGCGCGCCGGCGCGACACATGCATGCCGCCGCTGCGCCGCCTCGCCTCGCCTCGCCTCTCCTCGCTCCTACATACATCCTCACTACACTACACTCTACACATCAATCTATCTGTACTGTCTGTCGTTGCAATCACCCTAAAATAACAAAAAAACTCACAAATAATCAAGGTTAGAGAAATTAATTCATTTAACTTTAGATGTCTTTCGTTTCTCTTGTAGTGTATCTGTCCATAAAACCTTAATCCTATAGTTTATATATATGATTAAGTTGAAGGTTCAATATCCGCACGTCACTTTTATAAATTATAATAAACTTGAATGCCTACATATAATTGATTAAATAGACACAATGAACATATTATCTAGTATGTCGATCTCGAACTATGGAACTTGTTGGTGTTGGCATTTCCGAGTACATTTAAGAAGAATAATTATTTTAGTAAATGTCAATCTTGAAAAACGATGTAGGTATTTTTATTATTACAAACAAGCTTAAACAATTACTGTAATGATCAAGCAGACGATGTTCGTGAGGGATGTTGGCGGCCCTTAATCCTGTGTCTGCTGCCGCGTCGACGCCTGCGCCATCCCGCGATAAGATAAACTAACTACTTCTCACTGACACACCAACCCCCCGCCCCTGAACCCTCCTGCCTTTAATCCCGGTGCGGTGAGCTCAACAAGCGCCATCGAATAAAAACATTGACAAACAAAAGAAAACTGTTGCCAATCCGTAACACTATTGACTGAACATTGGGTAAAAAAATTATTTAAAAAAGTATATTTGGGACAATGTACCGTTTTAGAAACGATTTTGAACGAAATTACACGGAATTGTGAAAAATGAAGGATTTTAAAATTTAAAAACAAATCTACACTAAACTAACAGCATCACCTCAAATAATTAATAAATAAACTGAACTAATTTGTTTTAAAAATAAATCTAATTTGTGATGTTTGCGAGCGAGCGAGCGAGCGCGGGCAAAATAATACACAGAAATATGCGTCTAATTAGTCTGTTTGATATAATATTTTTATGTTGGGTGACGTAAACTGGTATAATAAAATAAATCATTGGAATGGCAAATTATACAGACGTCATCGTCGGAAGCGTATTCGGTGCCGCGAAAGTGGACAAAAAGTTGTCGAGACACGCAAAAAAATATGGCAGGTGAGGTCCCCGGCTTGCGGGCGCCCGCCGCTCGGCCCAAGTGACGCCATCTTATCCGCCAACAACTTCCATTTGGACATATTCATTGTTCAATGGCCACAACAATTGAAACTTGTTTACCGAAACATATTGAACCGGAATTGTTAACTACCGTTCATATATCTGTTTTATGAAGGCGGTATGCGCTCCTTTATTTCCCGACTTAATGTTTGACATAAACAATAATTTATAACTATTTACTTTCTACTTTTAGCACCCTATCAGTATATTGTTTTTTATCATCGTATTTTACAAAATCCGTAGGTTCGTAAACATATTAAAAGTTATTTACGCGTTTTTATTATTTATATATCAATTACTTACGTTTGTTTGATGAAGCTAAAACTATTAAAGAGAGGAAATTAAATTACTACAATGAATATTTATTCGAAAAGTTGAGCGACCAATTAAGGCCCTGAGACATCCCACATTAAGAGACGTTGCTTAACATGCAATACAATATTAACTCGGCTTTCTTTTTAATTAACATGCTAACAGGCATTGTCGACGCCTACGCGGCAACGAGAACCTGCAACCTCTATCAGCGTGTGGGCCGGGTGGCTGGCGATACGTCAACCGCCATCGCCAGCTACCCGGCACCAGGCATCAACACTGGGCCCATACGCCACTTAAAATGTCATTAACTGTAGGAGTCATCGCGGCAATTACCATCTCACTCATACATTAACAACTATTGAAATGGATATGAAATAAACACTGCGATATTGACAAAGTTATCACAAGTTGAAGTAATAACGTTTATCTGACCAAAGCATAAAGTGCATCATATGTTATTTGTTTTTTTCATAAAGAGGTATCTAAAAATATACAGAAGAAATGGACAACTAATGATCTAAAATTGCAAAATGAATGGTGAAATGTATCGAGGAAGTCGCCTCGGCCGTGGCGGCGGTCGGTGGTCGTCGGTCGGCCAGAGGCGAGACCAGTCGACGTACCTACGATGGCCGCGGCGATGGCGTCGGTGAATACTAATTGTACAGGAAGCCGCGACGATATCGGCGATACAGGAATGTCGGACACCGCAGACATGACAAAGGTCGCCCTCGAGACGCGCGAGTTTAAATATGTACAAAGGCGTAGCGGCGTCGCGCGGTATTGAAGTTAACGGGGTGCGGGCGCCGCTCGCGGGCGGCAGGCGGCGGGCGGCAAGCGGCACGCCGGCGCCAGCGCCGTGACCTTGTCTAGTTATCGCCGAGTGACCCTCGCCGCTGCTCGCCACACGGCGCGCCCGCGCTCGCACGACAGATTAGCCGACGCACACGACTCGCCCCAACTCTCATAAATACAGATTTCTTACCCTCACACTGCGGTACTGACACCTCACAAAACTAGTAACTTCTATCCGCTACCCACTACCGGAAAACATTAACTACTATTTACTAGAACATTGCGAAAAGTGGCAACGGTGGCGTTAGTAACTTTAGCGTCAGACTAAAACGCGCGCTGATGTCAGCCACTATATATAGCGCGCATGGCGCCAATGTTTACAATACGCTTTAGGGGATGGAATACATTCGCTGCGCGTGCACACGGCGACCGAGAAATGCGGTCGGCCGTGAAACTGGACATGCACTTTGTATCGAGTTTAGGCATCGTTTGACGTCACATGCGACGTATGACAGATACGGGAGCAAACAGTGGCGATAAATAATACATCGATATGATAACGGTTTGCAGTGATACCGACGCGATCCGTCGACAGCGTGAACCGGACGGAAAAATACGATCCGGTGCGTGTGTGCAAAACTTTACAACCGACGAAATGCTTCATTACGCATGTCCAGATAAAACATGCAAACAGGTGATAAGAGTTCATCACACGGACGAACGAGCTATACTTGCCGAGCACCGATTTCCAACTTTCTATTGAAATAAACGTCCCATAACCATATAAACATTAGTACTACAGCAGTGTTACAACACTGAAATGTGTGGTGCAGGAGATAGGCTACGTCTCCGCGAACGAGATCACATCAACACAATGCACACGAGACACACTTGTTGCTCGATTCAACGTCCGTCACGTACCGGGCTTGCAGAGGCGGCTGAAGTGATAGGGGTTGCAGCACCGGTGGTCCGAGCAAAGCGGCAGGCGGCGGAGCTCGGCCAGGTCGCGCAGCTCGGGGTGCAGGAAGGCGCGGGCGGCCGGCAAGCGCAGCGCCGCACCCGGCACGCACGCCGTACCGCCCGGGCCCGCGTCCAGCGCGCGCGCCAGCCCTCGCAGCTGGTCGTCCGGTACCGAGGGCGCGCCGGCCGCTGCCAGCCGCCGCCGCAGCGCACGCCGCCGGAACATCACATGCCGCCGCCGGCGTCACGAGCGCGCTCGCCTCCGCCGCGCGCTACTAACGAATTGTCGGCACGTCATCACTCGCCGCGCGCGGGCTGTCGACTGGCGGCCGCCGCCGCGCGCCGCAGCCGCCGGTGAGACACCTGCGCGCACCGTTTACCCCGGGTCCTGGCCTCGGCGCTTTAGCATTTTTTTGTTTAGTTTTATGGAAATTGTCTTTTGCTCGGGCGCCGATGTTCGCAGCGGCCACTCATCGATGTGTTCATGAAAGTCATAAATTTCGATTGATGTTTTTATAACAAAACTTATTATTTTCGGCAACAAACAAAGGACTATGCGTTTGTCCTACTACACAACTAACTTCTCCGTCGATGGTATTACAGATAAACAAACAAAACTTTGGTTGATTTTCTTAAACTACCTAATTCTATATGCTGATATTGGTGTTGGATGATGCAATATAAATATGTACAGCAGCAACATCGTTTGTCTGTCACATACGAATTCGACAGCTCGCAACACGTGACTCGCATTTGCTGATGTTTAAATTAATTCAGCATTTTATTAAACTGCGATTACCACAATCAAATTGTATAAAATAAATTTTACGATCGCTGACTAGATATTATAAAACACCAACTGTATACATAAAAAATATTGTTTTACTGCGAAATGACCTTGCTTTGCTTACCGACCTACGTTACCTAATTTTAAGATACATACTTGTCACATGGTAACACGGCCAATCTTTTTGATTATACATATATATAATTCGTTATAAATTTAAAGTATATTGCAAAAAAATTATCTGTCACAATTTTTTAAATAAACGATTGTATTATGCTTAAAAAAAATTCCCGAATTGCTTGTAGATGTGAGGAGTAATGGCATCCCTATGGCGGGGGTGAGGTACGGGCCGCGGGCGGCGGGGCCGGCTGGCGCCACCGGCGGCGTCAGGTGCGCGCGCCAGTGTGCGTGCGGCGCCACCCGTCACACACGCCACGCCGTAGACACGACAACACCGCCCCCGTACAATGCTTTCATACAGATAACCTCTCAGAGACATTATAAGAAGAATTCAAAGACACAATACCTACTAATTGATAGAGCTGTACCGTACTACATAGCTGTCAATTTTCTTTTATTTGCTACTATGTTTTGTACGTATCTAAATGTAGGTAGTTGAATGTCTATACCAAATAATGGTAACATTTAGCAAGGCAACTAATGACTTTGCTATCGAATAATTATTATCGAGAACCATATCCTAGTACAAGTTTTGATGGTTACAAAGCGATATTAATATTATCAGAGTCCTATCTGAATAAACTGTATCGTCTATAACGTGATTAGTGTATGTTCGCGGGCGGCCGCGCGGCGACATTGCAGCAAGGCAATAAATTACTCTAGCGGCGAGCGGCGAGCGGCGAGCGGGTAGCGGGTAGCGGGTAGCGGGCGATAGTATGCCCGCCACCGCCGCATCTCGTCGTCTCTTGAGCCCCACTAGTTGCCACACGCCGACCGACTCAATGGACCCGCAACACAATATGACCACCTTTTATACATAAATCCATTCATACTTCATTACAAAGGACACGGTGGAGTTTGGCAACTTTCATTGTCACTATCATTCAGATAATCTCATTAACTTGGTAAAATCAATGTAAAACTTAAAAGAGGTATAAGAAGTGGATTAATTAAAATATACTGAAGTGAAATACTTGAAAATTTATAAATCTACTCAAATGATGATGATACTATATGTATGACAGCTTATTTTATCTAGGTATGTTAGTTAAAAATCTATACTAAAGTGTGAAAATTAAAATATTTGGATAGATTTTAAGATTTATTAATTCAGTATACAAGCAATTAAATAATTAGTTATTTATCAAATATTTTAATAATTCAAAACTTTCATATTTTTTTCTAATAACTATTGAGTTCACGTAATTTTAGACCTGAGTTTGAATATTTTGTTTCGTCGTTATAGTGGTTCTTATATTATGACATAGATGGCGCTTTAATGTAAATGCTGTTTCTCAGATTTTATCATTACGAATACACAGAATTATTAAAGAAAAAGCAGTTAAAATATTATAAATCCTTTATAAAGCCAAATGCTAATTAAAAAAAAGCAAAGCAAAAATACTACGTGGAAAAAATCATTGCTAAACGAGAAAAATCATTTTAATTTATTTATGCAAACCATTGAAATTAATACTTTAACATTTTCAGGTGATTATTTATACATAATGTCAAGTTTTTTATTATATATTAATATAAAACAATAATAATAGCGCTTCACCACGATCCGACCTGATGTTAAGTAATAATGAAAGCGATGCGATTCAATGAAGTTCCATTCCAGTTTAGTGACAGAATCATCTTTTATCACCGAATCTAGTTTGAAAATACTTTTGTTATGAAAAATATATTACCACTTATCTATCGTAGTTTTTTCGCAGACATTTTAGATGGCGTATATATCCCTGGGTAGTGTATTTTGTATTTAGTGTACGCTTTTATGCACTCGATGCTTGTGTAAAAGCACATTAAAGTGTTAAGAGTATCTATGAGGGATATTTGTTTATTTGACATTCATTTGATGTAAAATGCTCATGTGTAATATATGTCGTAGTCTGGAACCATTCATTTATGAAAAAGCTGTTGTGATAAATGGTTTAAGGTCATCATAGTATGATTTTTTATGACTATAATAGCATCAAAGCGTTTTTTTAACTAGCAAACAAAATTGCTGGTTGCAAAAAAATCTGACTACACTTATTAGCTTCGCTTTTTTTTCGTCTATTTTTAGTAAAAATAATCAAATATTAATTAAATACCATTACAATGTAAACATACCCATTTTAACTTTCCGTGCATCCAACTCAGGGTTAACACAGTAAAAATCACAATTTCCAAATGTTCTTAAATATTTTCTCTTTATGTCTTTCATTTAACTTTTTTATATGTACTTTACCTATTTAATTTATCGTCCACGTAATTCGTTTTATTTTTTTGAATACTGCGACGTCCGACATGACCGGCGATTGTATCAGGAATGGCGCGAAACCGCTCGGAGTGAAGTATTTATGTCGCGCCCTCGCGGACTTATGAATGGAGCAGAGAATTGTAACCTTACAACTTACTTCCCTCGATACGACACAAAGTCGCACTTCACAATTGTATAGGTACACAAAAACACAATAACCAAAAGAATAGCAACCATTTTTTTAAGCTTTTTTTTTCAGAAACGAAGGTGGTAAACATGTTGTCAAAATATGAATACGATGTACACCTTTATTTTTGACACATAGTTTGCTTATTTTTATAATATATCCAAACATATTGTCCAAAAGTTTATTTCTGTCACGATTCCCTCTCTTTAAATTGGGAAATGGTGATAAACGACTTGCGATTGTCTTAATGAAGAAAAAAAATTTACGCGTTTATTTTTTACTAACATTTTAAGTACTATTTTTAATGAAATTGTGTCGTCTTAACTATGTAACAATAGTCTTGTGATCTTTGGCGCCGGCTTTATTGATATAATGCATAAAATTGCTCCAGATTCAAGATGCCAGAGCTAAATTACTCGGACATAAACCTTACGAAGTAAAAGAAAATAAACAAAACACATAATCCTAATTAAGTCATAGATATAGAAAAACACATGAACTGAAAGACAAATAAAACAATTTGAGCATAATTATCATTAGGGGTTATTTATGGGGGGGGAGGGGTTTGTGTGGCGCGAGACGGCGCCGGCGACCGACGGACGCGTCGGATGCGCGCCGCTACGTCGCAGCGCCACTCCGCTCGCTCAATCAAAACAAATTGTTGTCGAAAACAAAATATCATAAGAGTGGAGGGAGCCACCGGCGCAGCGCCTCAGTGTCACCGTCTGCTCAACTCTGAACGCCTCTCTACTCCTAATTGTTGCGAAATGATTGACATTGCGAGCGGAAAATATCCACTTTTACACACAAACAATATTTTACATTTGTTTACTTAACAAGTATTCAAAAATAAATACGACTGTCAACTTTTATTAAAAGACTAAAAACTGAAGATCTGAGATTGCAAAATATCGTATTGGCACCTCAACAGCGGTGTAACCGAGGACAATAAATAGGCACATTTTTAAAGATGATATGGCAACAGTTTAAGTAATTATTGAAACATTACGATTGAACATTATTTTTGGATACAACGTTATTGCAAACCTGCAAGCATATTTAATACTAGTATCTTAATTAATCCTTAGCATCGATGCTTTGTTGAAAAGTTGCAGGGAGCATATGATATCATAACAGCTTGGTGGCGAGGCGCCGGCCGGCGTGGCGGCATGGCGGCAAGGCGGCCCCCCGCGCGTCGCCGGCGCGGCGCCCGCTCGCTTACCTACCACCGTAGCCAGCGCACCCGGCGCGGCGCGGCGCGGCCTTTTGGCGCCGAATGTCCTCACAAAATCAAAAATGTATATCGCTTTTGTATAATAAACACCGATTCTCATGTCATATTCACATTGTAAAGACAAACAACAATTTATTTAACCAGATTTTTATAAAAGTAACATTAGGTGATTATATAGCGTATAATATACTTACTTACTCTATTGTTTCCACTCGACAAAACATTGCTGATCTAAAATCAATGTAATAACATGAACAACAAGTAGAACAAAGTGTTTACTTCACCCCAATACAATAAATCCATTAACTATAGCTTACTTTACTTATAACTTTACATTTTAGCGCCCATAAGAATTTATAACAGTCGCGGTCAGTCATTCAGTATGCATTTTATAATTATCTACATTCGGTAACTATAATTCTGAACTTGGAATTTACTTCTATCGTCTTCAAATACGGTCTGCTATAAATAAAAAGTTTAAACGAAGTGTTAAAAATAATTTCAGAACTATTTGTTCTAAAATAATTTCTTCAGTGATATACATGAAAGAGAGGCTGTGAATTTGAATATAACGTAATTAAAACAATTGCTTTAGAGTTGCACTTTATTAAAAATCAGATGGAGAATGAATAAAACATGTTTGTTGGTTATTGCATGGGGCCGCGCGGCGCGACTGCGGCCGCCTCTTGCTTTAGATTTCAACGGGACTCGGCGCACGTAGCACCTCTACGAGAACATATTCAATTAAAAATATTATATAATTTAAATATAAAATATTTAATTGTAAGATTAAATCAAATTCTGAAAATTCAAAATGTAAATCTTTCAAATAACTTACTACAATAAAGAATCGTTTCGTCTTTACATCAAGTTGTAACTATTTATTTCTGTAGGTGAACTCATCAAACAATTAAATTATTATTCATTTTCCATAACAAAACAATACTTAAGTAAGTGCGTCGATAATGTGTGAATAATACTTAAGTCAGGTGCAACTTCAAATTTACTGAAAAAATAAAACAATGTGTACATACATAAATTTTAATAAGATATTATGTTTGTTGTTGCATTGTAATGTTGTTTACAGTAAAATGTATAAAATGGGGTTAAGTAAACACCTAGCTTAGTGTTATTCTGTCTGACAAGATTACACACATCGAAGTCACCCTCAGTTCACACTGCCGAAACATGTACAAAATCATTTTCTAACTCACTTCATTATTTCCTTGTTCTTATTCCAATCTATGTGAGGTGGAACCACCAGATTTCCGAGTTCCAAATCGATCTATTTTACGTCATCTCTTAATTTGTCACCTTTTATGCAATCCATCTATAATTGCCTACGTCGACTCCTTACAGCTCTACTTATTCTTTGAATAGCAAAGATTTGATATAATAAGTACAAGGTTTTCGGCACAGAAAATTCACGTAATCTCTGCCTATCCCTCTAGATTTCTAGATTCTGGTCGTGAGTTGTGTTGTTTTGGAATATCTTCTTGCTAAAATACTTTACATGAAATATTATGAAACAAAGAGTAAAATTGCGATATGATAGTCCATGTTGATGGATTGTACCGTATTTAAAACGATGATTGACGAGTACCAAATGCCGACCACTTGTACACAGGGCTGTTACCTTTGAGGATTTTTACTGTAAATATTTGGGGTAAAGGTTGTACATCGATATATTAGGGTAAATTTTATAGGGATGAGAAAGGAATGATTTTTTAATGTCTACTATTGCGTATTGGTCGTTGTTTTTTTCTGTCAGTTTGGTTACGCTTATCGGATGTTGGTAGCCCTACTCCACAACCCGCAATCAATCGCCAGGTTTACTGATTCATGATTCACCAATGTACAAATGATGAGCTCCATTTTCTTACAATATTTGAATATTTTATGCGGAAAGCTTTGTCATCTTAATTTCGTTCTAAAATCTACCTTGTTTATTTTTGGACAATCGCATAAGATCATTATCGATCTGGTTAATAGTAATTAAAACTTTTTATACCGCATTTGGAATTCGTATATAACTATCAGCAGCCAAGTTCTAATTAGGTGTCGCGACACATTGACAACATCACATCACACCATACAACGGTCCGTCGAGCAGCTTTAATGAACGCCATCTCGTCTATCAGCATGATATTCTTAGCGCCATATTTTATAATTTAAGCAAGTGCTCACAAATATATAATACAATCAAAAGTTCGTGAGACCAAACTTGTTGATTATGCAAGGAGGAATGACCAATTTGAATGGTTCCTAATGGTGGAGTAAGTATAATAAAGACTAAATATATTTTTTCGTTGTCAATGATGCGTTACACAAAGGAGCTGTGCTCGTGTCTTAGATCTCGCCGGCGCCAGCGCGCCGCAGACAATAAAATAATTTGGGTCGTTAATAATTGCCGCTTCTGATATACATTGCGAGATTGCTACTGTCTGATTAATTTGTGTTTGCGTTTATTTCTGTTCGCATGCCAATGCTGCATATACCGATTGTAGTTTTCAGTTATTACGACCGAGTTTGTTTTTTTAATATTATTTTTAGTATTAAATACTTTGTGCACATCAAGAATATAAATTTAAGCTAGCCGTCTGGACATGGATCGGTTTTGACGCCTTCCTAACTATAAATATAACATCGGGGTCACAACTTGTTTACGATAATTTATAGACAAGTTCCTGCGGCTGAGGCAACGCCAGTGGGTATACAAGTGGGGCGGCTTTATTTGTTTATTATCTCTGGCGACCCCCCCTCGGTGCAGCGTGACGGCGGCGGGCGGCGCCCCGGGTGACGCCTGGCGGCCGCGCTGGGTTGCCAAAAACATAACAAAAATCCAGGACATCGATAACAGGTTGGCTATCTGTCACATACCTAAGAAACTACTGACTAAGAAACTTGCTTTGTTTGTATTATACTATTAGATTTTTTAAAACCTTTTAAAATGATATTTTTGTTCTTAACATTTCATTACTGTTTCTAAACTACAAATTAATTGTGTTTTCGTGATATTTAAATTGATCGTTCGTGTATGGCGCGCAAGCTGTCCTGCTTGTACCTCGACAGAGTTGGTAATCCTACTGTTGCTGTGTCCGACATGTAAACATACACGTGTCATATTGTTACACTCACGAAGCATTACTATCTGAAGATATAATATGTGGGAGTAAAGGTGTACAATGTTGCGAAAGTGCTTATATTGCATAAGCAAAACTATAAATGATTATTGTTATAAATATCTTCTCTTACAATGCCTATTACATATCTACGAAGAAATTCAAAGACTTGTGAAGTCAACTGGGCAACAACTGGACCAGCGTGGTTGACTATGGGCTAGTCACCCCTAGCAAAGGGTAAGTTCCGAACTTCTCAATGGGGACGTATAGTGAGCTGATCATTTTACAATAGGTGTTGCCAGGCATTCGGAACTTTCTTTCCAATGAATCGTTTCAATTAATTCTTTAAATTCCAGATCATCAGAAGTTGCGTATAACTTAATATACAGGTAATTTGAAAAGATCTTTATTTCTAAATTGTAATTGTTTTCAATTTTTCCATGTTCATCAAGATAGTTAACTCTTAATTATTTAAAACTATCGTGTGCGAAATAAGCCTTGAATATTTTGTACTTGTTGACAGGAGGAACAAAGCATGGTAATTTTAATTAGTGAATTAAAAATTGTTTAATTGAATGGTATTGATAGAGATGCAGTATGAGAGACGGGGCGCAGGGACATGGGTGACGGGCGTCAGGCGGGTGACGGGCATCAGGCGGGCACTAGGCGGGCACCGGGCAGACGAGATATGACATAATGGCGGCGGAGCGGAGCCGGCTCGGGGCGGCGGCGGGCGGTGCGGCGCGGTGCCGGGCGGGCTCGCGGGCGCCGCCGGCCCGGGCGCCCGCCGCTCCGCCGCCCCGACACCGACCGCGGTACAAACTAAAAGCGACGGCGATTTTATATAGACAGATTACCTTAGAATCGAAAGTTCCACATTCTTATATTGTTTAACGCGTGAGAAACGACTAGCTAAATCGGTGAGTTAATACGGACTTGTATAAGCAAAACATAAAAATATACGCAACCACAAAATTAGAAATAAAATATGAAAGAATCATTAGAAGAGTAAATCGCTAGTGTCGTGTCGCTCGGGCCACACTTCGAGCTTCACTAATGATTGCACATGATTTATTTGAGCAGCACATTTTTATTGCCGCCTGATTTCGGGACCCAAATGATAGAAAGGTGTAATTTTTGTTTGTTTTCGACTTATTTGTATAGACAGAGCCTTAGTGTGTCGTAAAAACCAGACGCCCCTTTTAATTCACTTTGAGACGTCTTTTTTGAATTGTCTCGACAGTATGAATCCTGTTTATCTCAAAACTAATACAAACAGATACTAATCAATGTAAAGATATTTAACTAATGGTAGAGACAGTGGTTGCTTGCTCTATGCTCCTGGTTATATGGTATATTTGACTTTATATTATTTTAATAAGTCTTAACATTGGGTTTCACTGCTTACAGACTTGTACAAAAACCAAAGCTGCTCACATTTTGACACAAGTGTTTGTGCAGTGTAAACTCACGATTTGCCGTTACTTCCACATTAGGTTGCGTTTTGTTGCAAGGGGTTAGAGTAACAAGATATTAAGTTAATTGAAATAAAACAAATATAATTTTTCTATAATTTATTAATTAAAGTATAAATTGCTTATAACTATTACAATGTATTCTCTCCTCGTCATACAACTCCACTATTTCCATACAAAATAAAACATAACTAATACTAAAGTAGATAAATAAACCATCTCCTCGAAACAAACTGTACACTGACAGAGCAACATAAACACATATTACTCAGCTTTTTATTCAAATATAAGAGTTTCATCGTTTTGTCACCGATAAATTGTTAACTTCGCCAATTTGTAAACAGACTAGGCATTGCATTTGGAAAGTTTATTTAGTCTGATCGACAACAAAAGTTCACAATATATCGGTTATATTATAAATATAAATCATTAAAATTATGATTCCTACGTAAATAATCGTATCTTACAATTTTATTATATTTGCCAGACAAATGTAATCTAAACTCTTTAGTTTAGATTTCATTTGTCTGTCTGTTTGGCTTTATCTTGTATTTTTTTAAATATATACAATTATTTACGTTGGAACCATAAAAAAATAGAAACTATCCAAGTTATTGTCGGTTATTTGGTATTTGAGATAAATTGTACGCGAAATGTACAAGAAATAGTAAAAACATACAGAAATAAAACGTATCTCGTATGAAGCTTGTAAAAATATAAATTCAAAAACCATGTAGTTTGGACCCCGCTCCTTGCCACAACACGTGTTCACAATATTACTGCCGATACATTGCAAAAATATTGCCATACTTTTTACTCTTTTTAAAAAAGAACAGAAACATCTTTTACTAGTTTCGGCAGTGGTTAGTTATAATTGTATTAACTTGTACTATTTTATGTTTACAGTCGAACCAGGAAAAGCGACAAATTCGACTTAAAGAGATAGTATAAGCGAGAAAGTTGCAGTCTCTTGAACTCTAGCTTATCCAGATTCGACTTTATTACTAGAATTATTTAACAATTATGCGTACAACAATATCTAACTAAGTCAGTACTCGAGAATTAACTAATGTTAAGTAAACTTCAAAATATAACCGTGAACCTTTCCTGCACAATGCTGCAGATAAGGTTATCAGACTTTGTAGACATTTAATGTGACAGCTCACTAACGCCACAAATGTCATAAAAGTTTCACAAAAACCTTATCGTACTGTAGCTGTATTATTTTTTCTTATAATCTTCTATATCTATGTAGTTTTTACATGTTTTATGAGAGAAGTAAACGCGAACAAGGTCTCTCTCACCGGGAGAGATAAGCTTGTCGCACTATAGACATATTGTCATCCCTTTCATTATCTTTGAAAAGGGTAGAGATAACAATATGTGTAGCACAGCAATGGCAACTTGGTTATAAGTAATCTTTGAAACCAGTCTTGAATTTCCAAGATGGCCGACATAGATAGATAAAATGGCGGGAAGCAGCCATTTTTAAATTCTTTTTGTTAATACATCTAATGCGATATGGATTATTAAATTCAAAAGTGTTACATGAGTTTCTACATTACTATACTTTGACTATATAAACACAAAAATACATATGTTTTACTTTATGCACAATTTAAAATGCCGAAAAAAAAATGTACGTATTTTTTTTAACATAGTGTTTCAAATGAAATAATATACAGTGATGTATTTACAACTCAATGAGCTATATAAATTACAAGGTATATGACATACTATAGCACTGTACATAGTTCGAAGCTAAAACCATATCCTACTCAATATTACCGCATAATCACATTCAGTACACTGTTCCAAAATAAGATCTAAAAGGTCTACGTACTTCCTTTATAAAATATTGCAATGCACAAATTTCGTGTTAAAAACATTAATTAGAAATGTAAATTGTTGAGTTGGAACAGAGTACATGTGCTAACGGTGCGATCTGGTGTGAGGTGGTGAGCGCAGAGTGCGCAGTGTGCGCTGTGGTCAGTACAGGTTCCTGTACGTGCGGGCGGGCTTGAACCCGGCCCCGCCCCCCGCCCCGCCCACTGCACTCCCCGACCCGCCCCCAGCTGAGTTCAGGAACAGCTCGATGTAGCGGTGGTCCATGTTGTGCTTGTCACGTCTCATTGCCTGGGAATAATAAACAAATATATATTTTTTATACTCAACGGTATTTTAGTTATTATGATCATTTAACTTACTTTTTGTCAAAAGTTTTTATTGTAAAGCTAAAAAGCTTCTTTAGTAACTAAGTAATTGGATAGAGTTGTTCTTATTGAGAAGCTGTAACACACTTCGTAACCCATAGGGGGTAGGCAGTTATTATAGATTTGCATATTAAATGCATATATATGTGTGTACCCGCATGGCGTCGTCGTGGCACTCAAAGTCGACGTCCGCCTCGCCCGAGGGCCGGCCGCTGTTGTCGTACAGGATGTTGATGCTCACAGGACGCACCGGCTTGAAGAACTGACACACAAGTGCAAACGTTACATTGACAAAACACATTGCTTTTTAGTTATTATATGGGCTTTATGGTATTGATGATGCCTTAAATGAAGAAAATGATGTGAATGAGATATGTGAGCAATAGTTACATATGCGATGTCCTGCGGCGTGGCCTTGAAGGGCAGACCGCGCATGTGCACGCAGTACCCGCCGCGCCGGAACCCCCCGCGACCCGCCCCGCCTCCGCCCCCTGACGAACATACAATCAACATCACAAATTGTCTTTTGTCAACATTTTTAATAAAAACCCACTTCTTTTTCCGTTTTTTTATTTAATTTTTATATAATTAATTTATGACCTATCTTAAAAATGAGTTGTTTTTGAATTTTTCGACTGCAACTTGTCGGATATGGTTGCCATGACTTTAGTCCACATAGAATTATGTACATAAAATAAAGTGTTATTCGTATATCTGTGGTATAATTAGTCACTCTTGATCATGCTGACATCTATAATGCGCAAAAGACAGTTTTTCTTTCTATTGGTTCATATTGATATGGAAAATGTTTTCGAATACCTCTAACAAATCCCCTGCCGCGAGTGAACCTCTGGCCGTAGCGATCGCCGCGGTCGTAGGGTGTGGGGCGTGGCCTGCTGGAGCCCCGCCCCGCGTCGCGCGCGCCGTACGCCCTCACCTCGTCCGCGCTGCTCGGGAACACCTCGATGTATCTGCAACACCACACGCTTCCTGCTTAGTACATTATACCTGCTACTTTTATATCACCTACACCAACTGACATGAAGACACACTATTTAAAGAGTCATACCTTCCAACAGTATCTCGTTTATGAAGACGTGAAATCTTAATAATTTGTTTTTTGATTAACATTTTATCATTAACCACCTATGTATACACTATAGATATTTAAATACATGAAAATTACAACATTTTTGGTTTGCAACGGTAGTATTTTAAGAGGTATATCAGCACATTAGTTTTATTACGAATATTCGACCATTCGGATTTCATTGGGATTTTTTTTATATATTATACCGGAATTTGCTTCAACTTTTGCTGATTAAAAAATTAAATACACTACATTATATAATAACTATTAGATGAACTAAAATTCAAATAGTAAACAAAACCTGAAACCAAAAATACCAAAGACACAACACAATTAATTGTCTGTTTGTCCTCTTCCCTGTCGGTCGCCCGCCGTCCTCCCCGC